AGCAGCACTTTGGAGGAGCGCTGCAGTTAGTAGTAGTAGCGTTAGGAGTAGTCTTCAGCGTTGGGCGCTATTAAGAGCTAGAGTAGCATTGGAGAGAGGGAGAGAGTTGGCGGAGGCCAGGGAGACTTACCTGTGGCACCATAGCTCCAGCTTCGTCTTCGATGTACCTGCAACAAGGCGCCACCTTCACAGGTTAGTACCGGACTGAGAGAGAGAGAGAGAGAGAGTTCTTCATCTTCCTCTTCTAAGTCCACCATCTCTCCCTCACCCTCTCGCGACCTGACTTCTCAATATCTGCAGACTACGAGCGAGCGAGCGAGCGAGCGAGCGAGAGAGAGAGAGAGAGAGAGAGAGAGAGAGAGAGAGAGAGAGAGAGAGAGATTGGTGACTTTGGGACTTGACAACATTTGGATTCAGACTCGACATTGGGATTGAGACATTGCACGAGGGATTATTTGGGACCTGTACCAAAGATTGGTGTTGATGACATTCCCATCTTTCCTTCTTCTTCGTTTGATCCCCTCCTCTTTGTCTGTGTATGGTTTGGACCTGGCGCCTTCTTTCGGTGTGTAGCGCGAGGCCCTTCACACCTTGCGATGATGATGATGTTGGTCTGCATTGCTACGTTGATTGGTCGGATCATTGGTATATTGGCCTTCTGCTGCGCTATCTTATACTATGTGAGAGAGGTCGGTTCTTGTTCTGGTCAGTACCGTTACGGTATGCAACAGTTTGGTATCGGAGCGGACCTCTCAATCAGAGGATCTGCCCAATCAAGGAGCCAGCTTGCTTGATCAACTGATTGTTGAATGATTGATCGATCGATTGATTGATTGATTGATTGATTGATTGATTGATTGATTGATTGATTGATTGTGAGTCTAGTAGAGCTTCGTCAAATCTCTGCATTTTTTTTTTTTCTTTTTCGCAAGTTCAGATATTAGCATTTCGTTTTCTGTTTCACTCTGGCATATTAGGTGAACTAGGGAGGTTGTCATACTCTCGGACTGGATCTATTATTCTCTGAAAGTGGAACCTGCAATCTATTTCGCGCAATTTTTTTTTTAAGATCGCATTTTTTTGAAAGCCGAAACTTTGTGAAACCTTGCCTAGATCTCGCTCATAGTACTCCTCTGAAATGCCTCACTGATAACCGATCGACAGATATACAAAAAAATAAAAATAAAGGGGGGGTGATCCTCTTCTTTTATTTTTTATTTTTTATTTTATTCCGTTGATTAGGACCGGGAATGGAAAGTGCAGTTTTGTTACCTTTTTGCGTTTCCCTCCCACCCAGCCCTTTGTCTGCATTCCCGGTTTGGTAAGTGCCACGTCAGCTGTGCCACGTCAGTAGCAGTGCCATGTCAGCAAGTGCAACGTCAGCAGTGCCCCACCACCATGACGGTTTTGGCTTTGGGCATGCCAGGCGAATTGGGCCAACGAGTCCCTTGGCGAGTACCGACAGCGGTTTCTAGCTCAGCTCGCACTGATCGAGGGTGAGGTACAGCGCCAAGCGGCAGCTGAGGCTGCTCGCCTACAGGTGGAAGCAGAGGCAGAAGCCGAAAAACACCGGCTTCAGTCCGCAGCTGATGCAGATGCCCAGGCCCGCCACAAGGAGGCCCAGGATCGGCTGCATTGGCATGAAGCCACCAGCATCGACAAGCTCAAGTTCTGGCATTTCAAACCATTCGACGGCCTTGACGACGCAACACCGACAAGCTCAAGTCCTGCCCAAACTTGTGACCCGACTGGTTTACACTTGTAACCACCTTCAGTGCGAGTTAGAGAAACAACACCAGGAACTGGCGAAACAGCACCAGGAACTGGAGAATCTCCGACGTGCAGTGTGGAACCACAAGGATCTGCATGAGGGTGCTACACGGGCACTTGATTCCCGTGTGCAGGACTTGGAGCAAGAAGCACCAGGACCAGACGCTGGGGAACCCAGCAATGCAGCCACAACCCGCCAGTTGGAGCAACGAGTTGACCATGTAGTCACAATGCTCGGTGCATCAGCAGCTTCGCTGCACGAGCCACCATCAGCGAGCAGCTCGGCACCTTGCACACCGAACTCAGGCAAGCCGCCCTACAATGATCGCCGAAGCACTTCAAGATGCCAACGTTCCGGATCAAGAAGTTTGACGACTGTACGCATCAGGACTCAGTGTCTAGTGGCAAGGCTTTACAACGGAGCTTGGGATTCATGAGGTCCTCCAATATTTGTACATCGCGGCGTTGTTCCCGAACATCAAGGGCGGATGCCAGATCTGGCTCAGCCACATGACAACCATCCACGACGTCCAGGTCAACAGCTTACACAAGAAGATCTCCTGGGAAAATTTAACGAGATTCATTGTTGATGAAGGCCCGACGCTCGCCATCAACCGCCTATTCGCCACGACTCAAAGCAACACATCGACGCACGACTGGCTCACGGAATGGCAAAAGATTGTGGCAACCCCCGATCTCGACTTGCCATTTTCGCATCTGCGTCGAGAGTTCAACAACCGGTCGTGTGCCGCCTTGAGCCTAGCACTCGGTGATCGCGAGCAGTACACGACCTTCGTCGAAATCATCGACAAGGCGCGTGAGATCATCAAGACCAACCAGGCTGCTGCACACGAGAAATCAGTGGGGCAGCCAGGCTATGTGGAGAAGGGAAAATTTGGTCCACGTCCGCAGCCCATCGCTGCAGTCCAACCAGACAACATTGTGGAAGACCCGATAGCCACCCTAGCATCACGTGAGGGAGATCAGGTAGCCGCTGTCCAGCCGCGAAGCAACAACAACTTCCGTGGAAAAGGGAAGGCGGAAACCGCATCGCGGGCCGGAATGGACAGCCAGTACCATGGGTCAAGTTCAACTTGACCGAGGCCGAATACAAGTACCGCAGCCAAAACGGCTGCTGCTATTGGTGCAACAACACCAAGCACAAGACCTCCCAATGCCAAGATCAAGGCAAGGAGGATGTTCGACCTCGAATCAGCTCGGGAAACTGAGCTGCACGGGAGGTGAAGGCGATTCCACCTCTCACTCCGCCAGATTCGGCCGCCTTGCTAGCGGCCTTCTACACATCTGGGGAGAATGCGGATGTCACGAGTCCTCGGTTCACTTACGAGAATTACGCTGTCCACTTGGTCCCACAGTTGGACCAGCCACTCAATGTGTAACAATCAACCGCATGCACGGTTTCACCACCATCGGCAACCGATTCGGCAGCTTCGCTGCCAATTTTCGTCGGGGATTCGACGTCATGGTCAAGACTTGAGAGACTCGACCCGTTGACGTTAGCGGACTTCCAATGGATGGCCCTTCCCTTGGCCGGTCGATTGCCGAAACCGCATTGCAACGTGCTCGTGGCACAATTGCGGGATTATTTGCTCATTGCAGTACCAGCTCCGTTGATGGACGCCGGAGTAGAGGTTGTTGACCTTCACGACTACGTTGCGAAGATCGACCACGAGTTCAAGACACAATGGTACAACGACAACGACACGCCATTGTTGTACGTACGCATTTTGATCGGAGAGGCGACCTGCAGCGCTTTGATCGATTGCGGAGCTACTCAGAACTATATCAGCCAAGACTTTATGATACGTGTTGGCCTTGGGCCACGAGTATATCTGCCAAGACTTTATGGTACGCGCTGACCTTGTGCCACGCGTATATCAGCCAAGACTTTATGGTACACGCTAGCCTAGGGCCACGTGTTCGGAGGAAGTCGCAACCCACACAAGTCACGTTGGCCGATGGTCACATACACAAGTCAATCAACCGGTGCATTGATTCCGTCCCCGTGTACTTTGCTCCGCATGCAAGCGAGGCCAGTTCGACATGATTTTGGGCATGTCATGGCTACGAAGCAAGGATCACCCGGTGAACTTCTACCGCCGCACCGTTCACGTTCGTGATTGGAACGGAGTACTAGTCCCATGCACGGTGCCTTCACGTCACCCTTCAATCAGTTGCCACGTGGTGTCCGCCGCAAGCATTCGATCTTCCATCACCAGGGACGACATCGAGGAGACGGGGGTGTGTTTTCTCCACGCCCTCCCTCCCCATGACATCCCATCGACGGACGCATCAACGGGCCCACGTATCACCGAAGTTTTGGACGCCTACGGGGACGTGTTCGAAGCCCCGCACAGAGTAGTACTGGATCGGCCCATCCGCCACGAGATCATCCTCGAGGCCGGGGCCTAGCTCTTTGCCATACGACGCTCCCGTTCTCTTCGTCCGAAAGAAGAACAAGCACTTGACGTTGTGCATCGATTATCGCAAGCTCAACCCGCAAACCATCAAGAATGCAGGCCCTCTCCCGCGCATCGACGACCTTCTCGAACGGCTGGGCGGCTCTAAGTTCTTCTCCAAACTTGACGTCAAATCGGGATATCACCAACTTGAGATTCGGCAGGAAGATCGCTCCAAGACCGCGTTCAAGATGCGATATGGGCATTTTGAATGGCTGGTTATGCCATTTGGCCTTACGAATGCCCCGACCACGTTCCAAGCGGCTATGACGACAGAGTTCAGACACATGCTGGACATATTTGTACTCATCTACCTCGACGATATCTTGGTGTACAACCGAAGTTTGGACAAGCATGTGGAGCACCTGTGCACCGTTTTGGACCGGCTACGACAAGCCAAGTACAAAGCCAACCGTAACAAATGCGAGTTTATGCGGCAAGAGCTCGAGTACTTGGGCCATTATATGACGCCGCAAGGCATCCGTCCGCTTGCGGACAAGATCAAGGTCATCCGCGTATGGCCCGAGCTCACCAACACCACGGACGTGCGCTCATTCATGGGGTTGGCGGGCTACTATTGACGCTTCATCACCGGGTACTCGAGGATTGTCGCACCATTGACGAGATTACAATCGCCGAAGGTGCGATTGGTATTCGATGACGACGCACGCCAGTCATTCCAAGCACTCAAGACGGCCTCATGGCACCCGTCCTTAGCATCTTCGACCCCACCTTGCCAACGAGAGTGACAACTGACGCTTCCGGCTATGGCATTGGGGCAGCCTTGGAACAACACGATGGCGATGACTGCCACCCGTGGAGTATTTCAGCCACAAAGTGCCTCCCATCAACTCACTTGATGATGCAAGGAAGGAGGAGCTACTCGCGTTCGTGTTGGCTCTCAAGCGCTGGTGGCACTTTCTCCTTGGGCGTCGTAGGTTCACATGGGTCACGGATAACAACACATCGACCTATTACAAGACACAAGATACGGTGAGCAGCACTATCGGACGATGGATGTACTTCATTGACCAATTTGACTTCACACTCGCCGGCCTCTCCAATCGCGCAACAGATGCACCTTCGCGAAGACTCGATCTTTGTGCAATGGCACATCATGCCTTGGCATTCCGATGAGGAACTGCGGCATTTCATTCGGGGTTACCAGTCCCATCCGGATTTCGCCACGATATATGCGCAACTATCTTCGGATCACCGGTCGGCCAGCCATTATTGCATCATCGACGGGTACTTGCTTCTCCCCTCGCGAGGCGAGGACTTATTGTTTTTCCCCTGAAACCATCGTCTTCGGACTCGCGCCTCGCGCCTCGTTGGCCATTTCGGAGGCCTCGCACCTCGTGCCTCGCGCCTCGTGCCTCGCGCCTCGTGCCTCGCGCCTTATCGTTTTCTTGGCGAGTACCACGACTCGCGCCTCGTCGGCCATTTCGGAGTCGATTGGACTATCGCACGACTTCGGCAACGATTCTGGTGGCCCGACCTCATTACCGATGTCACTCGGTATTGCGACTCTTGCGAAGTTTGCCATCGAAGCAAGCCTCGCAACCGCAATCCCTACGGCGAGTTGCGCCCGTTGCCCATCCCACGGGAACCCGGCCTCTGCATTGCTATGGACGTCACCGGTTCGTTTTCCTAGGACCGCCTCGGGCACGACGACATCCTCACGGCCGTTGAACGATTGAATAAATACGCTCGATTTCTCCCTTGAAAGTACTAGGCCATGGCTCCTCAACTTGCGTGCCTCTTGCACACCGACTGGATTTGCAGCCACGGCGTGCCGGAAGACATCGTGAACGACCACGACACTCGTTTCATGTCGGCATTCTGGACTTCTCTCATGCAGGAATTCGGCACCAAGATGAAACCAAGTTCGGTTCGGCATCCACAAACGGACGGGCAAACGGAGGGGGCACATCAAACCGGTCAAATGATGCTTCGTACGCTCATCCGCCCGGATCAGAAGGATTGGGTTGACCGCCTCCCCGACATCGAGATTGCATACAACACTTCGTTGCATCCTGCGATTGGCGTGAGTCCATCCGAGTTGCACCACGGTGGCTGGAAAGGCCGTATCTTCTCTGATCTTCTCCTTCCACGAATAGTCGATATAGATGCCGCTTGCTCTCCCGCTTCCGTTCGGAAGTACAGGGAACTGCTGGCTCAACCCTGTGCAAACATGCAAAAGGCTCAAGTCCGCATGCAGCAGCAAGCCAATCGGCGCCCCGTACCATGTCCTATCAGCGCCGACGACCGAATTTGGGTCTCCGCGGAAGAGTTTGCGTTCGAATAGGATGTTTCGTGCAAGCTACTCCCCAAGTGGTTTGCACCATGGACCGTCTGTTCAGCCGCAGGCGAGGAGCCCGACGGCCCGTCCTTTGTGCTCGACATCCCTCCACATCTGGTGGTGCACCCAGTCTTTCACGCCTCGAAGTTGGCGACATACACGCCAGCAAAGGATGATGATTTTCCCGGACCGACGATCACAAGACCCTCCGTCTATGGATGGTCATCAGGAAGTCGACCGCGTCATCGCGTATCGCAAGTACGGCAACAAGCCTCGACAGTACAAATTTACCTTTAAAGCATGCGATCCTGATGACACTTGATGGATTTCACGAGCAGATTTGCAAGCATCCGCACCTCTGATCTGCGCTCACTACGAACGACAAAGACTAGGTAAGGAAGTTTCACGACCCTCCGACAGGCAGCTTCGCCCTTGCAGGTAAGCTCGGTCTTTCAAGGAGGGGGGGGTGTGGCATACTGCGCATCCACACGGGCCTGCAGGGCCCGAGACGGAAAATAACGGCCCTCCAGGCCCTGTGTCGTTTCAGCCTAAAAGCCTGAAAACGAGGGCCATTTTCAGGCCCTCATAAAGTCGACCTGCCCTGAAATTCAGGCGCCAGACCAGGGTTTAGCACAGGCCCTTTTTGGGCCTATTTGTTTGAACTTCAACGCCAGGGTCTGGCACGTTTCGGCATTGGCAAGAGCAGCCTCCCGGACGGGTCAGCACTATATAGAGCTGGCCCGCCCTGCAGGCTGCAGGTAGTTCATACGGACTTCCCAGGCAGTTCACGGGCACTTCATGTGCAGGAGGCAGGAGGCAGTCTTCAGGATTCGGCAGCGGCACTCTGGAAGAGCGCTGCAGTAGTAGTAGTAGCGTTAGGAGTAGTCTTCAGCACTGGGCGCTATAGGAGCTAGAGTAGCGTTGGAGAGAGAGAGAGAGAGAGTTGGCGGAGGCCAGGGAGACTTGCCTGTGGCGCCATAGCTCCAGCTTCGTCTTCGAGGTACCTGCAACCAGGCGCCACCTTCACAGGTTAGTACCGGAGAGAGAGAGAGAGAGAGAGAGAGAGAGAGTTCTTTTTCCTCCTCTTCTAAGTCCATCTCTCCCTGAGAGAGAGAGAGAGAGAGAGAGAGAGAGAGAGAGAGAGAGAGAGAGA